GCCTTTCAGAGCCTTCCATTGCCTGATGCTCACTAAAAGCTCACCAGATCTCTACCCCCAGACATTCTTCCTTCAGCACTATGTTATGATTTCTGCTCAAACCCAGTGCTGACCACCACGGAAGTCAGGCTGGGATCAGAAGGGGGGGAAGCACTTAGTGAGTGAATGTTCCAGGCACTGGGTGTCAAAGAAGAGTAAGACAGTCCTATCTGTGTTCTGAACATCTGTCCAGGGAACAGGGATGACTGACAAGTAGGAGATCCAAGTGTTGAGAGAAATAGCAAGTGCAGGGGGTGACTGCCTGGGGCAGGAGGGTCAAAAGCAGCCCCAGGAGGTGCCCGCATCACCCCCTAGGATGAGCAGGGCTCACACAGTGATCTGCTGGTCATCCTCTGGATCCTCTGCAGCACATGGTACTTTCCATGCAATAACTGTGTGCTGACTGAACTCATGAGGGAGGATGGTGACGTCCCAGACAGCCCCAGTCTACTGCCTGTTGATTCCCAGAACTTCCAAATGGCAAAGGCCCCAGCCAGCCCGGCCCTTGATGTCTTACCCACTCTGACAACATTGTGGGCATTTCCCCCAAAGCCCTCCGTGCTGGCTGTTTTCCATTCCCCCAAGACCTTTCCACCGATACCTCTGCTCACCTCCACAGACAGGATCTTCCCCAAGGCAAAGAAGAAGGGATGCATGTTGATGTCTGGGTCTTTGCGGAAGCAGTTGGGCTTGGCATGGTGCTGGAAGTGCAGGTGGTTCCACCAACTGGCGGGAGCCCCCTACAGAAAAGCAAGGACACGAGTATGAAAACCTAGTGCCCTTCCCCCTGCCCCAGCAGCCCTCTGCTGCCTGGAGTTTCAGAGAGCCCCTCTAGCCCACTGACCTTCAGGTGGCCAATCACAAAATGATGTAGCAAATGGTTCCACGTGGAGGTGCTGAAGACTGACAGGTGCCCAAAGTCATGCTGCAGCCAGCCAGCCTGGGCCTGGGTGAGAAAAGTCAGCACTGAGAACAGCCCCTAAGCCTGGCGTCCCTTTCAATGACCTCAACGCCTCCCGCAGCCCCTCCATCTTCCTTCATCCACCAAAGCCTGGGATGTCCATCAGCAGTCAGGAAACGTGGGTCCTAATTCTAGCTCTGCCACTGACTCACATGTGAGTTGCTGTAAATCAATATCCCTTCCCTGCTCTTCAGTTTCCCCAGCTCTGAAGTTCACAACTTATGATGGACTGGCATCCAGAATGCAAAAAGGGTCACAGATGAGGAGAAGGCTTGCCAAGTGGGTCTGACAGCCAAGAACTGGGGCCCACCCATTATTCGCATGTCTGTGGTGGAGAGGGAGCCAAGCCAAACCAGGATCTTTGTTCTTGGCACACCTGGGCTGTGGCAGAACCTGAACCTGAAGTTTCAAAGAACAAATTCCACAGGAGGAAGGGAACCCCGGAAGCAGCAGGTGGAGAGGCAGTGAGAGAAACGAAGACACACATGTGGCCGATGAGCAGATAAAAGCCTCGGAAATGGAACATACATTCTCCCCTGCGCTAACTCTCCCTTAGAAGGCAGGGCTCCTTGGCCTTCTGAAGGGGTCAAAGAGCTTTCCCCAGGGACGCTGAGCATGGCTGTGCACTTGACAAGCCAAAGGCTCTCACCTGCACTGCACTGAGCAGCACTGCACAGAGGAGGAAGGGCACGAAGGATGTGCCAAAGACCCAAAGGGTGAGCCAGGCAGAGACATCCAGCAGCAGGATGTGCAGCAGGTACAGCAGGAAGAACACATGGTTGGCCTTCATGAGCCCCATCCGCTCCACTGTGGCCCGCAGCTCCCGGAACTCATCGGTCAGCTCTTTCTGTGAAGGGAGAGGGGCCTGTTATTCTTCCTAGCTGCAAACCCACACTGCTGGAGACAACGGCCCTCTCAGGCTCAGGGACCTCCCACTAAGGTGACTGTGGGAAGTTCAGAGTCCTAGGCAGAGATAACACAATGAGGATGACAGGAGGATCATGCCTAAGAGCTACGTTGACATAAGTCCCTGCTCTGCCATTTACTGACTGTGTTATCCTTGGCCATGTTGCTTAACCTCTCTGAGCCTCAGTTTTCTCATCTGTAAATGTGTGGGAATTTGAGTTTACGATTGGCACATAGTAAGTGCTCAATAAATAGGTCTCCTGTTGTTGATGATAATGGTAGGCATGGTAGTGACAGTGTTGGGAGAGCCATGGGTTTCCAAGCCCTGCTTCCTTGGGCCTGTGACCCCATGACTATGCAAGAGAAGCAGGGACCTCAAGAATCCCTAGAACTACTGACTGTGGTCACCTATAATCCCATCTGGGCTTTCCTTCCCCCTCCCCGCCCCCAGCAACCAAGAATCTCCCAACAGCAAACAGGGTCTCACGTTCTTGGTGGGCTCAAAGCTGGGCTGCTCTGGAGACAATTCTCCAATCAGGAGAGAGTTCATATACTTCCTCACCAGGCCCTTGTTGATGTGGAACGCCACAAAGGGGTCCTGCAAGCAGGAGACAAGACAGGAGGGTGAGAGAGCCAGCCCCGACTCCTGGAGGGTCCACACCAAACGCCATCTCCTGCCAGCAAAAAGGCTGTGCCCTAATTGAAGCAGAGACCACCGTCCTGGGCCAGCTGTCCTTTGCAGGTGCTCAGACCTTCCCCAGGTGTCCACAGCTGAAGACCACCCAGCATCGGTGTCCTAGTTAGAAGGGCACCACCTAGAAAGACCTGCCTGGGCTGGCCCTTTCCCTGGGTGTTTCTGGGGACAGCTTTTGCCCAAGGATTTAGGTATTGGTAAGGAACAGAAGGGATGGGTGGGGCCATGAGACTGCTCAATCTTTTGTTGTGGAACTTCTAACAAGTCTCTCAGAGCTAGCGTTCTCCATAACTGCAAAGAGGGAGACATCCAAAGTCCAAACTGGGGAACTTTCCTATTTCTCCTCCTCTCACCGTTGTTCCCGGTAGGGTTCTGTATTTCCCCAAGCACTCTGACCACTCCCTGCTCTAGGGTGGCTAATTTTAGTTATGCAAGGTGGGATGTGGCAGCAAGATTCAAGATTCACATCCTAAGGTCCCAGGAGCAATCCGAGACCCGGTGTGTGGGGCGGGGCGTGGGGACGGGGCGGGGCGTGGGGGCGGGGCGGAGCCGGTGGCCGGTGGCACCACACATCTGGACCAATCGCAGTCCCTATCTCGGTGTCCCTGGCCCCAAACCACACAGCGGGAGTCCCAGCATCGGTGCCAGCTCCGTCTGCGCAAGCGCCAGCCCACGCCTGCGCGGTCCGCCGGCAGACGTCTGGGCTTCCTCGCAGAGACCACTCCGGGTGATCGGCGCAGCCTCGGGCCTCGCCCCCCAGGCGGGCTGGTGTCAGAGGGTGGGGCGGGTTCTCGCCCTGCAGTGTCTAAGCTTCGCTGCGATGATGTTATGGGAACCATGGTGACCCAAGGAGCACTCTGGGACGCCTGGGCAGTGAATGGGGACTGCGGAGGAGGTCATGCTGCAGGGCACACGATCACAGAGGGATACATGGGGAGGCGACGCGATACTGGCCGCCACGGAACGTCCCAACTTTCAGGTCGCAAGGGAAGCCCTCCCTCCTGTCTGGCACTGCAGCCCTGTAGGGAGGCGCCAGGTGCCTTAGCTCTGAAGACTAGTGGTCTAGAAAGAGACGCAGCAGGACCCGGGCTGGGGGGCGCGCTGACCCCGCAGTGGGGCCTAAGGAAGGAGGGACACGACCCGGCAAGAGGCCTAGCGCCATGGAGTGCAAACGGCTGGCCGAATAGCTGGAGACCCGCTGGCCGAGTGCCCTCCCCGGCAGGATTCGAGGACAATTCCTCGCTAAGTGTATGCTAATGCTGTTCCCATTTCCCCCAGGGTGCCAGCGCTGCTTGCCCTTTCCGGCGCGTGCTGTTCCTTCCGCGTCCTCTAAGCGCAGGGGTTCCCAAGGCAGTGGACTTCCCAAGTTTTCCCGTTTGAGCCCCATCTTCAAGAGGGGTCTCCTCTCTTCCTCCCTCCCCGCTCCTGCCAGCGAGTGGAGCCCGGGGTGCGCTCGGTCCATACACAGCAGCGCTCCCCCTGCCAGCCTTCGAGACAGGACGTGACTCCCTCTCCCTGCCACTGACCCCTCCGCCCCTGGCGCCCAGCATCCTTGTTCTCGTCCCTCCTAGCCCAGCTCTGGGTCCGGCCCACGCCTGGAGACCGGAGACTCGGGCTGCAGGCGGAATGCACGGGCAGCGCAGCCCTTTGTTTGTGTGTGCATGTTGCCGGCCTCCATCCCCACTCCCCAGACTACGATTTCCAGAGCCCCGTCCGGCCCTTGCATCCTGGGTCCGCAGGACACCCAACCTCCGGGCAACAGGTATGCTCCGGCGCCTGCCGCCTTTTCTCCGAATTAGTCGTTAGGCCCTGGGTGCTGAACTTCCCGGCTCCCACGCAAGCAGCCTCGGCCCTACCGTCTCCCGTGCCGTCGCCTGGCAGCGCTCACCGTGGCATCCTGCCCCGCGTAGTGGCTGATGACCCGGGAGCCCCCCGGGTGCCGGCGTGTGAACTCGCTGATGTTGTACACCTTCCGGTCGATCACGAGCCAGCGCTCCTCGCGCCCGCAGCGCTGCGCCACCTCTTCCCAGGTGAAGTAGCGCGGAGTGGGCGCCTGGGCCGGGGTCTCGGCCGCCGGCAGGCCGGGGGCCATGGCGGGCCTGGCGACGCCGCGCGCCGGCCGTGCAGGGGCTGTCAAGCGTGCGCGCCCGCCTGGCGAGCTCGGGGAGCCGGTCGGCTGGCGCGCGCCGGGAGCGCACGGCCCACGGGCCGGGTTTTCAGCGCCCGGGCGCGGACCGCCGAGCCTCCCAGCGCCGACCGCCGGGCCTCGCGGCGCGCGCTCCCATTGGCCCGGCCTTGTGGCGCGGGAGCGAGCCCCCGCCCCACGCCCGCCAGACCCCGACACTCTGGGCGGGCCGACGCGCGCCCCCTGGCGGGCTCCTCGCCTGCGCCGCCGCGCGGTTCCGCTTCCTGGCGTCGGGCTGGTGTTTTGGCCGTGGCTCCCGGGAGGCGCCGCGGTCGGAATAACGGTTCCCGCGCGGCAGAGGGGAGCGGGGCCGAGCTCCGCGAGTGAGCGGATGGAGGCGTCGGGACCGACCGGGTGGCCGAGAGGCGGCCGGGACCAGGGCAGCGGGCGGAGGGAGGGAGGCTCTCCCTGCGGCGGGAGTCGTCCCGCAGCCCAGGCTGTCCGGGAGCGGGGCTGCCACGGGCACCTCCTTTACGCTGCGGTTGTCCTAGCCTGGGTCTGCAGACGGGACACCACATGGATGGAAACTCCTGCCGCCTCGCCGTGCTGCTCCACGTCTTCTGCTGCCTGAAGTATTGATATTTTCCTACCTATCAACATAGTTCACATCCTGGTCTTTTGGTTTGTTTTTTGTTTTTTGAGACAGGGTCTCCTTCCCTCTGTCACCAGGGCTAGAGTGCGGTGGCATCATCATAGCTCACTGCAATCTCAAACTCCTGGGCTCAAGCGATCTTCTTGCCTCAGCCTCCCAAGGAGCTGGGACTACAGGCACGAGCCACCACGCACAGCTAATTTCTTCTATTTTTGCTAGAGATGGGGTCTTGCTCCTGCTCAGGCTGGTCTGCAACTCCTGACCTCAAGAGATCCTCCCACCTTGGCCTCCCAGAGTGCTATGCCTGTCCCCACATCCTGGCCATTTTCAATCAGTCCTTAATTCTTCATTGTGCTAAGAGATCCTAGTGAGCTTGGTGATTTTCTTCTTGCCAGCACTTGGGATTGTTCCCAGTTTTTGCTATAAAATTTGCTATCTTTGCACAGTCGCCCCACCTCCTACTTTCCCCAAGAGTGAAATTACTTGATCAAAGAGTACAAATCATTTTATAGCTCTTGTTGGACACTGCCAAGTTGTCAGGCAAGGTTTTTAGAAAAGGCATATTGTCTGTACAGAGAGGCAGCTGCATGAACCAAGGTGCAGTGGCCTGGCATCTTAACTGGAAGTCAGGACACTGAAACTTCCCACAGAAAGTTGGGAAGTCCCCTCCCCATTAGGAACCTCAATTTTCTTATCTATAAACTGAGGGGTTTGGATTGAATGGATAAAGGTCCTTGTGTACTAGAAATCTGGTCTCTGTATCACCCTCTCCTGACTCCCAGGGGCTCAGATGCTAGCCCAGTGCCTGGGGTAGGCGGCTTCCTTTCCTTTGGCTGCGGAGTCCACCCAAGTGCCCAAAGACTAGTGCAAGCAGAGCCCAGGAGTTCAGAGCACAGAGCTCAAATCCCAGTTCTGCCACTTAACTAGCTGTGTGACAAAATACTCAGCCTCTCCTGGCTCAGTTTCTCCCTCTGTAAGTGAGGTTAGTAACAGTCCCTACCTCGTAGGGTTATGAGAATTAAATGAGTTAATGTTTGTAAAACAAGAACAGTGCCTAGAACGTAGTAAGTGCTTTATAAAGTGTGTGTAGAATACATAAAGGACAGTTTCACACCTAAACTCTGGGTTTCTTCAGGACTGCAACAGCTTCTTAACTGGTACACCCACCTGTGGCTGCATTCCCACTCCTGTTTCTAAAACCCAGAACCCTTTTTTTTTACAACACTTTTTATGAAATCATGGATAAGTCGAAAATTCCTGTTATTTTTGAATATGAGTTCCATCGTGGAACCAATGCAGCGCAGACAGCTCGATATATCAATGAAGTGCTTGGGAAGTCTGCAGCTCATGAACACATGCAGTACTTCGATGGTTTGAGAAGTTCCCATTCTGGTGATTTTAATCTTGAAAGTCAGCCATGTGGCTGACCTGAGACCAAGGTGGATAATGATGAGTTGAAAGCTGTAGTGGAAGCGAATCCATCTCAACCTATATGAATTAGCAGCAAGGTTTAATGTTACTATTCCAATAATATTGGACCATTTGAAACAAGTCAACAAGGTGGATAGATGGGGAATGTATGAGTTAAACAAGCATCAGCAGAGAAATCATCTCAAAACTTGCCTTTCTTTGTTGTCATAACATAAAGGCTAACCATTTCCATACCATATCGTTATGTGTGACGAACAATGGATTTTTTTTGACAATTGCAAGTATTCAGCACAACGGTTGGATAAAGATGAAGTGTCAAAACACAGTCCAAAACAGAGTATTCACCAAAAAAATGCTAATGGTGTCTGTTTAGTGGTCCAACACTGGTATTATCCATTACAGCTTCACGAAACCTGGTCAATGAATTATAGTGGAAGTCTCCTGCAACCAGCTGGATGAAATGATTAGCATGTGTGCGATTAAACAGCCCAGATTGGTCAATAGAGACCGGCCAATCCTCTTGCAAGACAACTCTTGACCACATGTTGCATAAACAACACTGTTCAAACTACAGAGGGTGGACTTGGAAACTCTCTGTCATCCAGCATATTCACCAGACCTTGTACCAATTGACTACCTTTTCATCCAGGCTTTGGACCACTTCTTGCAAAGAAAAATATTCAATTCTCAACAATCTGTGGAAGACACCTTACACTATTTTATCACCGCTCACTCTCTAGGCTTCTTTTGCTGCTGGTGTAAACAAGCTACCATTAAGATGGCAAAACTGTCGCTAGTTCAGGCGCATATTCTAATCATACTGCTTCTTGTTTGAGATGTAATAAACTGAACTGTTGATTCGAAATTGGACATTTCATATTTAATGACCCAGTATCCTGTGAACAGTATGATTTATTGGGCTTGGTGGGGGAGGGTTGTTAATGCTTTAATTCACTCAATAAAACATTCAAAATGCCCACAATTTCCATTTGCCTTTTTTCATTTTCATTTTTATTTATTTGTTTAAAAACAATAAACTGGGTTCCTTAAATAATGATGCCAGCATCTTCTGACCTGCAGGCAGCCCTGCCTGAAAGCCCTGGGTCTTCAAGTTGAGGCGTTTCTATTCCAGCCTGGAGGCACCTGGGACCCCTGGGAGACTTTTAAGCAGAGAGATTTGGGATTCAGGTTTCTGAGTTTTAGAAAGAGGAGTGGGAATGAAACCACAGGTTGGGTGTGCCAGTTAAGAAGCTGTTGCTGTCCTGAAGAAACCCAGAGTTTAGGTGTGAAACTGTCCTTTATGTATTCTACACACACTTTATAAAGCACTTACTACGTTCTAGGCACTGTTCTTGGTGTTTTAACTCATTTAATTCTCATAACCCTACGAGGTAGGGACTGTTACTAACCTCACTTACAGAGGGAGAAACTGAGCCAGGAGAGGCTGAGTATTTTGTCACACAGCTAGTTAAGTGGCAGAACTGGGATTTGAGCTCTGTGCTCTGAGCTCCTGGGCTCTGCTTGCACTAGTCTTTGGGCACTTGGGTGGACTCCGCAGCCAAAGGAAAGGAAGCCGCCTACCCCAGGCACTGGGCTAGCATCTGAGCCCCTGGGAGTCAGGAGAGGGTGATACAGAGACCAGATTTCTAGTACACAAGGACCTTTATCCATTCAATCCAAACCCCTCAGTTTATAGATAAGAAAATTGAGGTTCCTAATGGGGAGGGGACTTCCCAACTTTCTGTGGGAAGTTTCAGTGTCCTGACTTCCAGTTAAGATGCCAGGCCACTGCACCTTGGTTCATGCAGCTGCCTCTCTGTACAGACAATATGCCTTTTCTAAAAACCTTGCCTGACAACTTGGCAGTGTCCAACAAGAGCTATAAAATGATTTGTACTCTTTGATCAAGTAATTTCACTCTTGGGGAAAGTAGGAGGTGGGGCGACTGTGCAAAGATAGCAAATTTTATAGCAAAAACTGGGAACAATCCCAAGTGCTGGCAAGAAGAAAATCACCAAGCTCACTAGGATCTCTTAGCACAATGAAGAATTAAGGACTGATTGAAAATGGCCAGGATGTGGGGACAGGCATAGCACTCTGGGAGGCCAAGGTGGGAGGATCTCTTGAGGTCAGGAGTTGCAGACCAGCCTGAGCAGGAGCAAGACCCCATCTCTAGCAAAAATAGAAGAAATTAGCTGTGCGTGGTGGCTCGTGCCTGTAGTCCCAGCTCCTTGGGAGGCTGAGGCAAGAAGATCGCTTGAGCCCAGGAGTTTGAGTTTGCAGTGAGCTATGATGATGCCACCGCACTCTAGCCCGGGTGACAGAGGTGGAATCTGTTAAAAAAAGAAAAAAAATTTTTTAAATAATTCCATGTTTAGGGATATAGCCTAAGGAAACCTTTTTGGAAAAAAATATTTATAAACAAAAAATTGAAGCAGCATTTATGAGAGAAAAAAAAAAAGGAAACAATCTAAATGCCCATCTAGATGCCCATTGGAATATTATGCAGACATTAAAAATAATGTAATGAAAGTTTGGCTGCAGAGACAACCACACTATGGGAAGAGACTAGAAGGAAATGATAATAATGATTGTTTCTGGATTGGGTGGGTCAAGATAATTTGTATTTTCTTTAATACTTTATGAATTTTTTATGATGAGTATGTATTAGTTTTACAATCAGAGAGACAAGGTTACAAAAAATACTTGTAGGATGCTTCCTTGATTAACCCCACCTCCCTAAAACCATTCATTGTCTTATTCAACATTTGTGGCTCATTTGCTCTTTGTCTCTTACTTTGGTAGGTGCTGGGAATACAAAGTTCAGTACCATGAAGGTCATGCCTAGCCAGGTCTACTGGGGGGACAGACAAGCAATCCCTGATCACATCACAGGTCAGTAGGATAGATGCAAATTGAATTCATGTTTGTGATTCTTAGCATTTATGCAGTCTGTGTGACATGAATTTGCATTTGTGTTTCTTTGCTTTTTGTGTGTTCTTAGGTCAGTCACGTGTTTTGGTTACCTCCCTAACTAGGTTATAATCTTCTGGAGCCGGGATGATGAATTCTGCTTAGTATTACCTGTTGTGTATTCAGAGTGCCTTAGTTTGGAGTTCTATGTGGAATCCCACATAAATTTTTTGAGCTAACTGATGATTTCAACCTGAAGAAATACAAGCGAGCAAACATACGGGCTCCTAGGCACATGTCCCACTGTCCTCTTGTGTCCCTATGCCCCTATACAGATGGTCGTGCAGACTGTGAAAACCCATTTCCAGGCCTGAGTAGGGGCCAGCTAGATAAACCCTGTGCCTTGTGGGCCCTCCTGATACTAAGCTAACTTGCCTTATGCAGGATATGAATCACATGGTTAATTCCAGATTGGCACTTATAAATCCTGATTGTTCTGGCCAAATTTATTACTCAGGGAACAGAGCAAAATCAGCTTAAGACTTTAAGGCTGATTCAAATCAGGCCATATTTGAATGACATAACTGATCAAGGCCGTTGGAATAACCTGAAATGTGAGTTCAAAGTTTGATCCGTTTTGACAGAGGATCATAAAGATAATCGTTGAACAACAGGCAAGATCCTTTACAAAGACAACCAGCGTGAGAGAAGCAGTATTGGTTTTGCTAAGCCCCTACTGCAGCCTCCTCAGCGACAACTCTTCAGCCCATTCATTAAAGACCAGAGCCATTTTCACAAAATCTAGGTTTATGTGAAGTTAGGGTACTTTATGGAGACGCAGTGAGTACAGCGCCTGACACACACACAGTAGGCACTAATAAAGTTAACTGCACCAGTCTCTGTTTTCAGAAAAGTCATCTGTAATAGTTTCCCGGGTTAATGTCAACTAAATATTATTACAGAATAATTTATGACATGTAGTACTACCAAAGAAAGAATCCCAAGGTCACACCCCTATTGGGCAAAGAGAAGAATTAGAAACAGAATTCTTTCATTTTGCCACATTCTAAGAATGTAGGAGATTTGGGGGTGGAGGGCGTGAGCTCACGGAGGATGGACTCATGGGGTTTCCTTAGTGCAGTCTTCTTGTTATTGCTGTATGGAGTATAGACGCCTTAGACAGATCTATTGAACCCATTAATTTGTAGATAAGGTGACAGGTCCAAAGAGTTGGAGCCTAACATGAAAAATAGGAATTTGCTCCAGAACTATTTTATACCTTTTAGTTCTTCTCTGCAGGAGTTCCTAAACAGTGGGCTCAATTAATATTTTTGGTACAAGGCCTTTTTTTGGTGCAAAAAAAGGAGAAGGCTGGTTCCGTTTTGTTGTCATTGCTTTTTGGGGGCACCTTCTTCCTCCTAGGCCCTTAGACTAGCCTCTATAAAATGGGAGCAGGGAGGCCTGATGGTGGTCCCATAGCTTCAGATTGCCTCACAGCACTAGTCTGCAGTGCTCTGAGCATTGATGTAAGCAATCTGCTAGGCCCCTAATGCACCTTTACAACGCAAAGGATCTCTGTTTAGAACAAAACAAAAAAGCTAAGCTTAGAATTTTATAATGAGAAGACTGTTTACTTCCCTATAGCAAGTCATCATATATATGTACATAAATATGTATACCCCCTAATATATTTAGCCTTTTCCCTATTGTTGGACATTTGTATAGAAGTTTTGCTTGTATAAATGTTATGATGTTGGACATTTAGATATTGGTTTCTGTCTCTGAGCATTTTCTTAGGATAAATCCTACATATGTAATTAGTGGATCAAATGATAAGAACATTTTTATGCTCTTGTTATTTGTTGCCAAATAGCCAATTTGTTGCCAGATTATTTCAGAAGTATTTATTGAGCACTTACTATGCATTTCTTCATTTCACTGGACCTGTTGTCACCAGAACAAGAAAGGAATGGTGTTCTGCAGCTTCCTGGCCAACTGCCTCTCACCATACTGTGAGCTCTACATACACAGGAAAAGAGCACTACACTCTGGCACGTAAGGGTCCCTTGAGGGAGTCTCCCAGCTCCCCCCCGATTCTATCCAAATAATTGCAATATGAAATTACAATCAGATTCTATTCTAAATGCACATTTCAGAGTTGGAGAAGGATCCGTCAAGTTTTAACAGGATGTAGCAAGGAAAGGAGTCAATGTGGTAGAATAGAAAGAATAGAATTGTATTTGAGAGACCTGGGACCAAGCCATGCTATTCCACCCACTGCTGTGTAATCTTGGACAATCATGTCAACCTCTCTAGGTTTCATTTTCCTTATCTATAAAGTGAAAGTTTTGGCCAGATGCCTGCCAGTGCTAGCAATCTGTACTTCTTTTTAACTGAAGTTTTATACAACATACCATACCTCTTATCAGTGTTCACCTAGTGATAATGCTTTTGGTCAGTTTCTTAGATAGGTTCCCCAACCTGTCATTTAAGGCAACTGAATTTGACAACTTTATTAAGTTTATGCCATTGTTATCGTTGAAAATTATTGAATGTTTTTAAGATTCTGAAGACTTTCACCATGTGCTAATAAATTGTTATCTAGTGAGCTTGGTTAAAGCAGTTTGGCCTGACCCATATTGCTAGCGAAGATAATGTGTGTATGGTGTTTTCACACACCTTGTGTCCTTTGATCCCCTGTTTTTTTTTTGAGACAAAGTCTCACCAGGCTGGAGTGCAGTGGTGCAATCACAGCTCACAGCAACCTCAAACTCCTGGGCTCAAGTGATCCTCCTGCCTCAGCCTCCTGAGTAGCTGGGACTACAGGCATGTGGTACCACATCTGGCCAATATTTTCTATTTTTAGTAGAGACAGGGTCTCTCTCCTGCTCAGGCTGGTCTCAAACTCTGACTTCAAGTAATTGTGCTGCCTCAGCCTTCCAGAGTACTAGGATTACGGGTGTGAGCCACCGCGCCCAATCTGATCCTCCTTATTAAAAATTAAAAAATCGGATGAGATAGGTCAGAAATTACTATCTCCATTTTATCATGAGGGAACTGAAGGTCAGAGAGACTGTGAGATCTGACATCGTGTCATAAGTATGCAAAAGAAATACAGTGGTGGACTGTGTTTGCTTTTGATTTGTGACTCCCCACAAGAAGAAACAGACCCGGTTCCCCAAAGCCCAGGTCTGCTGCTGGGCTTGTGACCTTGGCCAAATAGAGCAACTGAGCCCTCTGACAACAGTGGCCCAACGGTTAGACATATGACCCAGAACCCATCAGCGTCTTCCTCTGGAATCAATCCACGGAAGCAGGGAACAAGGGAGAATTCTTCCTGCTCAGGTTGCTTCGCGGGTGCAGCCATGTGGAGAAGACCCTTCTGCAGTAAGGAGAGTGAAACCAACAGGGCAAGAAAAGCAAAGACAACTAGAAAATGTTGAAGTGCTGCTTCCAGAGGCCCGAATTCCAGAAGCTCTTAGCTCTGTGACCCACCTGGCTAGTTGAGCCAATAAATTTCTTTTTATCCCTTATACTGGTCAGAATTTATTTTCTTCTTTTTTCTTTTCTTTTTCTTTTTCTTTTTCTTTTTCTTTTCTTTTCTTTTCTTTTCTTTTCTTTTCTTTTCTTCTCTTTTCTTTTCTTTTCTTTCTCTATCCTTTCTTTCTTTGCCAAAGCTAAGAAGATACAGGATTTATTTTCTATTATTTGTAACCAAGAAATGAACCCAGAACCTCTGGCTGTCAGGCCAGCGTCCTTTCTTCTGATGTTAATTAGCAGTGAGTAGTTGAGCATTTACCAGTGCAGGGGGTAGTATGCAGAGCACGTTACATGTAGTAACTTATTTACTGGGCCAATGTGAAAGCCCCAGTCCAGAAAGGCTAAATACAGATCCCTGGAAAAGAGAAACCCCTCCTCAGGTATGATGTCATCTAAACTGTATTGTTTAAGAACTTTTTTGCAAAATGTGGCCAAGTGATTCTGCCCCGGTAGGGAAGGACACCAGGTCTGGGGAGAGGGCTGCAGGCTGCGGGAGCTCCTCCTTCCTGCCTCTCCCCCCCAACCGCTCCGGCATTCTCATCTGCCATCCCGACTTGTTAATGTGCATTGAGTTTTTGAGAGAAAGGCCCAATATATGTGTAAGATCTTTTCATTGCTAAATCATTTTAGATTGTAAAACTCTAAATGTTCATATCATTGAATTTAATAACATCGGGAGCATTGCCCATGACGTTTTTTTTTGTTTTTTTTTTGAGACAGAGTCTCTCTTTGTTGCCCAGGCTAGAGTGAGTGCCGTGGCGTCAGCCTAGCTCACAGCAACCTCAAACTCCTGGGCTCAAGCGATCCTCCTGCCTCAGCCTCCCGAGTAGCTGGGACTACAGGCATGCGCCACCATGCCCGGCTAATTTTTTGTATATATATTTTTAGTTGGTCAATTAATTTATTTCTATTTTTGGTAGAGACGGGGTCTCGCTCTTGCTCAGGCTGGTTTCGAACTCCTGACCTCGAGCAATCGGCCCACCTTGGCCTCCCAGAGTGCTGGGATTACAGGCATGCCATGACGTTTATCTATGTAGTCCAGACTGCCCTTTGGAGCTTCTGATTTGCGCATGCCCTGCCTGCTTGCCGTTCGCATCTGTCTTACCACCATGTCCACACTGTCGTGTCCCAGCCTGAACTTTCCACTTCACCTTCTACCTACTCCCCCTGCGCTGTCCGGCCTGTCACAGACACTCTGCTTACTCAGTAGGATAAGCCAGAGACCCGGGAGTCATTTTGGAAACTTCACTCTCGGTGATTCATTAGGAAGTCCTGCCAGTCCCACCTTCGAAACACAAATGTCTTCAATTCCCTCAATCTCCAGTGCCTCAAGCTAGCGTCCCTTGCTGTGATTCCTGCAGTAGTCTAACTCGCCTCCCTGCTTTTGTCTACACTTGACTTGCTCCTCTTCATTCCCTACAGAGCAGCTAGAGTGGGCTCTTAGAATTTAAGATCATGTCACTTTCCTGCTTAAAGTACATCATTGGTTTCTCACTGCACTTGAAATAAAACTCATATTCCCATGGCGCTTGCCTACCTCTCCAGTTCTCATCAGGTGGCCCTCTTCCCCTCGCCAAACACTGTAGCCACGGTGGCCTTTCTGTTCCCAAAACATGCTAAACCCAGTCCTGAATTAGACTTTTGCATGTGGCTGTTCCTTCTGCCTAAAACATGATCTCCTGAGCTTCACTGGTCTGTCTCCTTCTCAACCACCCGTTTCCAGCCTAAATTCCGGTTTCCCAAATGCGCCTTACATGACGACTCTTTCTAAGGAAGGTGCTCCCCCCCCCACTCCCGTTCTCTCCACTGTTGTTTACTCTTTTTTTTTTTTTTGAGACAGAGTCTCCCTTTGTTGCCCAGGCTAGAGTTGAGTGCCGTGGCATCAGCCTAGCTCACAGCAACCTCAAACTCCTGGGCTCAAGCAATCCTCCTGCCTCAGCCTCCCGAGTAGCTGGGACCACAGGCATGCGCCACCATGCCCAGCTAATGTTTTCTATATATCTTAGTTGGCCAATTAATTTCTTTCTATTTATAGTAGAGACGGGGTCTCGCTCTTGCTCAGGCTGGTTTCGAACTCCTGACCTGGAGCAATCTGCCCACCTCGGCCTCCCAGAGTGCTAGGATTACAGGCGTGAGCCTGTTGTTTACTCTTGATTTTAACAGCCCCTTTGTTTTCTTCTTACAGGATTTGTAATTACTTTGTTTTCATTGTCTGCATTTTTATTCTCTGTCCCCCTCCGTTTGTGAGGGAGGGGCTTTGTCTTGTTCATTGATGTATCCCTATCAATACAATGAGTTGAATGAATGAATAAAATCAATAAAATCGATGAGATGGAAATAAATGAAAATGAGTGATGCCAATAAGAGGTCATGATAAAAAATGCACAAAGAGCCAATAGACATAAAAGGACACTCAAACTCTGTCTCATAATTTGAAGAAAGAGGGACTGCATTTTCACCTATAAGATTGGCAAGTAGAGGTTTCACCTTATCTCTTGGGTTTGGCAAAAGTCCACAAAACAGGTCACGAAAGGGTGAATTAGCACAGTGTATTTAGAAATTATCTGGCAATCTTTGTTTCAGTTTGTCTAGACTCAGTATATTTATTAGTTGGCGTAGAATTTTGTAAGTAGATTATCCCTAAAATGCTTTCCAATTCCCTAATTTCATCATAGATTAAAACTTAACCGATTAATTCAGTCAGATCAATTGCGGTGGGAGTGATGTCGTCAAAACAGCCAGTTGGTTGACTGCCCTGGGTCTCACTGGTGTGTACACATGTACCAACAGCTGCCTCTCTTTCGCATTGACTGCCGCTGGGTCTTAACACCAGTTAGCCAAACAGGAAGGAGAGAACCACATTTCATCATCAGACAAAATTTATATCTTACTTCTCCAGCTGTTGCCTTTACAAGGCATGGGTTCATTAGCTAAAGAACGAGGCAAATGTTTAAATATGATGAATTTTAAAGGAATTGACATAAATGTTCTGTAGCTAAAGTTTTTTAAACAACCAAAGAAGTGTTTTCTCCTTTCCAGTTTTGCCCACAGATTCTGAAGTTTAGTGGTTGCTGGGTGGGAATATAATAGCAATAAATTGAGCTCTGGAGGATGCTCAAGGAAGGTGAAAGGGAATTTATGGCCTTTAATTGATCTGTCAGAATCCTGTTTCCCCAGTTTGTAATGAAGTATATATTTTCCCAGTCTTTTCTTTCTGGAACATACATAAGAGGTTCAAGATTAACAATCTGGGAAAAAGCTTACTGTTTTAGAAATCTGTGTATTAGGTATATTTTTCTGCAAGTTCAGAAGCCCAGGAAATTACTATGGAGTCTATAGTAAACCATTGAAGTGCAGTGTATCTATCTAGGAAAATCAGTGAACTATTTACCTTATCTGTTAACATAAAATAATTGGTTGCAAATTGCATAAAAGCATAAAAACTGAATTTCCATTTGGGAGGCCAAAGCAGGAGGATTGCTATAGGCCAGGAGTTTGAGACCAGCCTGGGCAACATAGCAAGATTCTGTCTCTAAAAAAAAAATTTTTTTAATTAGGCAGGTGTGGTGGTGCATGCTTGTAGTACTAGCTACTTTAAGGCTTAGGCAGGAGGATCACTTGAGCCCAGGAGTTTGAGGTTGCAGTGAGCTATGATGACACCACTGCATTCCAGCCTGGGTGACAGAGTGAGACCCTGTGACTAAAACGAAAACAAGACCAAAAAACCCTCTGAATTTCTAGTATGTATATTAAAATATCGGGACTGAAAAAAAGAGAACATTTGGCAATATCTGTCAAGTTATAGAAGGCATATAGTCATTGATCCAGGAATTCTAGAAATATACACAAGAATGCAAATAAATATGTTCCAGAATGTTCACTGCTGCATTGTTTGTAACAGTAAGAATAATAGATAACATTTTTGAGTACTCCCCATGTTCCAGGAATTGTTCTGAGCATTTCGCATCCAGTATCTCAGGTACATCACAGAGAAACTCTGTGAAATGGTTATTACCATTATACCCATTTTGTGTGTGAGGAAAACAGCTGGCAACTTGCCTAAGGACCCACAGCCAGTAAGTGACAGAGCTAAGCACTTAACCCAGACATGCACACGTAATCATTATGCTGTACCATCATTTAGAACAACTTCAATGTCCATCCGATTAGGGGACAAGTGTCATAAATACGGTATTAGAAATTCTACACTGTTAACGACCATCCCACCG